AGTCCCAGCACTTGGGAGGCAGAGGCAGAGGCAGGCGGATCTTTGTGAGTTCAAGGCGAGCCTGGTCTACATAGTGAATTCCAGGACACCTCGGGGTACAGGGAGACACTGTCTCAAAAAGACAAAGAACAAACAAATAAATCTGTCTTTAGTGATGATCATCATACCTGTGTTGTTCAGCATTTCCAGAGGTATCTCCACAAGATGAATTTCTAGAAGGCACTCCTTTGGTTCTGTGGCTTGTATTTGATCTTATGGTGGTTAAGATCTTTGAGAATACAAATGAGAGTTTCAAAGAAGACAGCTATTCCTATTAGTCCAGTGGTTTTCTCCGACTTGAGGACTGTCTAGGATCCTGGGATCAGCCCTGGCTTAGGAAGGGCCCTGGGTAGTTCTGTGCGCATTATGAGTCCCTGCCATCTCCTATCTTGGCCTTTCTTTCTTTTCTACTTCACTGAGAGCTGTCTAATAGGCCAGTCCTAAAGAGTGAACTCCAGGCAGACTACAGGACTTTCAGGGCTTTTCCTAGTTTTGTAGACACACTTCATAGCCCATGGTACCTTTCCTTGCTGGAAGGTGGGTGCTCCTAACATACTCCAGTACAGGGCTTACTTTTCATTTCTCTAAGTCTTAGACTAGTAGGCAGCTACTGCTGCTTTCCCTTAGCCTGGCTTGTAGTTCAAAGGTGCAAACAGTGTGTCTCCTTCAGATGGTCACTCGAGCATCGCAGCCAGGATCTGAACCCTAAAATAAATGAGAAGACTGCTAGGCTGAAGCAATACCTATAGAAGGAGCTGCTCCTGTCCACAAGAAAGAATGGGCAGGTGTCCTGCCCTGGAACATGGCAGTCGCTCACTCTTCTCTTCACTCTGTGTCTGTTAAGGCGAAGGTTGTTTTTTGTAAGAAGTGTCTTGTAGTAAAAACCCACATCCCATCTCTTCTTATAGTACAACCATAGGTAGCAGTGGCTGGTTGCCTGAGTTAGCAATATTTATATAGTGCCTTGGAACCTTTTCATCTGTAATTCTTAGAGAAAGGATGCCTTTGGTATGAGGTTAGCCCCTGTTGAGATACGAGGTAACTGAGGCCTAGAACATGGAAATCACTTGCTGATGTCCATGTTTTATAAATGACACAGTCAGAATTTGAGCTCTGGTTGATCAGTTCTAATCCTGTCTGTTATTTGCATGTATGTGCTATATACCATCTTCCAGAGGATCGTGTTTTTTTGTACTCATTTCCGCAAGCTGTACTGTGCCTCATGGACCGGGTTGTATTGAGCACAAATTGATAGGAATGGTAACAGATTGGAGAAAACCCAAACCCACCAAAACCTGTTATGAGTACCAGAGAAGCTACCAAGACTGAGTATGCAGCAGCCTAGGGTCTCACATGTGTGGCACCTGCACTTGCCCATGCTTGATGCTCTGCAGATTGGTGTTCTCTGTCATACTTACATGTTGTTTAACACTTCAGGGAAGAAAAGTCCGAAGACCAGGATCTTCAGGGCCTCAAAGATAAGCCCTTGAAGTTTAAGAAGGTGAAGAAAGACAAGAAAGAAGACAAAGAGAGCAAGCATGAACCTCTGCAGCCTTCAGCCCACCATTCCGCAGAGCCAGCAGAGGCAGGCAAAGCAGAGACATCAGAAAGCTCTGGGTCTGCCCCAGCTGTGCCAGAAGCCTCCGCTTCCCCAAAACAGCGGCGCTCCATCATTCGTGACCGGGGACCCATGTATGATGACCCCACCTTGCCTGAAGGTTGGACACGAAAGCTTAAGCAAAGGAAATCCGGCCGCTCTGCTGGGAAATATGATGTGTATTTGATCAAGTAAGTAAGAGCAAGACCTGTGTCTATAGGGCAGGGAAAGTCAGAGGGGTGGGAGATCCATTGAAATGGCGACTCTGGGAAAACGTGTGCCACCTGGAGGGCACTTAAATAATGAACACCAACAGCAGATATGTTCAGAAAGTATTGTAGAGGTCCCTGCCCTGCTGACTTGCCTCAGAGTAGCAGCCCTTTACCTTTGCTACATGTTGACTTCTTCCTATTTACCTCTATGAATGAGTGTTGGGAAAGGTGTGCTAACAGGACCTTTAGGAAGAAACACAAATGTACTCCTTGTGCCTTTTCAACTCCATGTCCCTTTTGCATTTGTCCAGCTTTGGACTGACCTCTGAGTGTTTGCTGTTGAAGCAGAGTAACTTCCAGAGCCATAGCTGTAGAGGATCAGTGAAAAAACACATCTGACTTTTGCCCCTTAAATGATCCCAGAAACGCTAGCAGTTTTCCTAGTATTTGTGGGTAACTTTATTTAATCCTGCAACTTTAAAAAGGGTGAGGAAAACTTTGTCATACTGAAATGGGTTCCAAAAGAGGCTGAGCCACATACCTTGGTTCATATATAAGAATATTTTGATGATGGATTAAGCCTGGGCACCAATAAGCAGAATGGGCCCAGCCCAATGGTTCCCCTGTACCAAGCCTGACTCCTTTGGTTGCTAGATTGTGGAGGGGCCAGTGAGTTCAGAGGAGTAGGCTTAGAGGTAGGTAGGTCCTTGGGCACTTGCAGGCAACAGTTGGTGAGCAACTGGTTCCAGCTTGTGAACAAGCTGTGCAGGTGCCTGCTACCCCTGGTGACTTGATTCCTGCCCCTGCAGCAGTGCATCGCATATGGCCTGACTGTGCCCTCCAGTTTTAGTTCATCTTAACTTTTCTTCAGTTTAAGCCCTGTTCACTTACAAATGTCTGTTAGAGCACTACCAGCACCATCTTCTCTACCTCAGTCTGTATTGCCACAGAAAGTTTCTCATTACGTTTTGTGTCTCTCTGTTTGTTCCTGCAGTCCCCAGGGGAAAGCCTTTCGCTCTAAAGTGGAACTGATTGCATACTTTGAAAAGGTAGGCGACACTTCCTTGGACCCTAATGATTTTGACTTCACGGTAACTGGGAGAGGGAGCCCTTCCCGGAGAGAGCAGAAACCACCTAAGAAGCCCAAATCTCCCAAAGCTCCAGGAACTGGCAGAGGTCGGGGACGCCCCAAAGGGAGCGGCACTGGGAGACCCAAGGCAGCAGCGTCAGAAGGTGTTCAGGTGAAAAGGGTCCTGGAGAAGAGCCCTGGAAAACTCCTCGTTAAGATGCCTTTCCAAACATCACCTGGGGGCAAGAGCGAGGGGGGTGGGGCTACCACTTCTGCCCAGGTCATGGTGATCAAACGTCCTGGCAGAAAACGAAAAGCTGAAGCCGACCCCCAGGCCATTCCTAAGAAACGGGGCAGAAAGCCTGGGAGTGTAGTGGCAGCTGCTACTGCTGAGGCCAAGAAGAAAGCCGTGAAGGAGTCTTCGATCCGATCCGTGCATGAGACAGTGCTCCCCATCAAGAAGCGCAAGACCCGGGAGACAGTCAGCATTGAGGTCAAGGAAGTGGTGAAGCCTCTGCTTGTGTCCACCCTCGGTGAGAAGAGCGGGAAGGGACTGAAGACCTGCAAGAGCCCTGGGCGGAAAAGCAAGGAGAGCAGCCCCAAGGGGCGCAGCAGCAGCAGCACCTCCTCACCACCTAAGAAGGAACACCATCATCACCACCATCACTCAGAGTCTCCAAAAGCCCCTATGCCACTGCTCCTGCCCCCACCCCCACCCCCACCCGAGCCTGAGAGCTCTGAGGACCCCATCAGCCCCCCTGAGCCCCAGGACTTGAGCAGCAGCATCTGCAAAGAGGAGAAGATGCCCCGAGGAGGCTCGCTGGAGAGCGACGGATGCCCCAAAGAGCCAGCTAAGACTCAGCCCATGGTCGCGACCGCCGCCACAGCCGCAGAAAAGTACAAACACCGAGGGGAGGGAGAGCGCAAAGACATTGTTTCATCCTCCATGCCAAGGCCAAACAGAGAGGAGCCTGTGGACAGCCGGACGCCCGTGACCGAGAGAGTTAGCTGACTTTACACAGAGCAGATTGCAAAGCAAACCAACAAGAATAAAGGCAGCTGTTGTCTCTTCTCCTTATGGGTAGGGCTCTGACAAAGCTTCCCGATTAACTGAAATAAAAAATATTTTTTTTTCTTTCAGTAAACTTAGAGTTTCGTGGCTTCAGAGTGGGAGTAGTTGGAGCATTGGGATGTTTTTCTTACCGACAAGCACAGTCAGGTTGAAGACCTAACCAGGGCCAGAAGTAGCTTTGCACTTTTCTAAACTAGGCTCCTTCAACAAGGCTTGCTGCAGATACTACTGACCAGACAAGCTGTTGACCAGGCACCACCCTCTTCCACCCAAACCTTTCCCCCATGTGCTTGTTAGAGACAGAGAGCAGTTGAGAGGACACGCCCATTCTTGGTGCCATTGGTGCCCCATCCATAGCTTCCCTGGCTCTTCCACCACCCCAGCTCTCAATCTCTGTGGGACTGGGAGGTGTGAGGCAGGAGAAGCTGTTGGCTTCTTTAGAGAAGACCATGGAGATGGTCAGTGACTGTTGCCCAATGATCCCAACTGTGGTGGCACAAGTCTGGCCCTACACCAACCCCAATCCAAAACTGACAAGGACATTTTGCAACACAGGAAAGTGGCACCTGTTTCTCCAGCTCTGGCATGGCTAGGGCAGAGTTCTGAACTGCTGGATATAGACTGGCCTGAGCCATAGAAGAGAATGGCCCAGGGTGAGGTGGCATCACCTATTCTTGAGACATGCTCTCCTAGTGAGTGGCACTAGAAAGGTTCCATGGAGGCAGCCAGACAAGGTGCAGGCAAGACTGGTTGGGGTCAAGCCAGACCTACTGCCACAGAACAAAAGAGCCCTAGTCTCTCAGAGCAGTCTGTGACTAGTAGTTAGGGACTTAGTGGACGGGGCAAGGGACATGGGGGAAAGAAGAAAATTTTCTTCCAATTACTTTCCAGTTCTCCTTTAGGGACAGCTTAGAATTATTTGCACTATTGAATCTTCATGTTCCCACTTCAAAACAAACAGATGCTCTGAAAGCAAACTGGCTTGAAATGGTGACACTTGGTCCCACAAGCCACCAGACATGGCAGTGTTCAGAACTACCTGGATCTGTATAAACCTGCGCTTGTTTTAAAGTGGGCTCAGCACATAGGGTTCCCACGAAGCTCCGAAACTCTAAGTGTTCGCTGCAATTTTATAAGGACTTCCTGATCGGTTCCTGTTCTGTCCTTCCATTTCTGCCCTCCTTCCATCTCATGCTTTCATTTCTTCCCTGTTCTCCTCTCTGGCTCCTAGTTCATCCATTCTGTTCCAGGCAGCTGCAGTGCCCAACCACATGCTTAGCTGAGTCTAATCAGCTGCGACAGTAGAACTCTCCCTGCCCTTTGCCTTCCCATTGCCAGGTCAGCCGTCATGGCCAGCCCTGAGCAAGTGCTGGACTCTACTGAGTTTGCCCTGGCGTCTGGGAAGAATGAGAGGGTAGCAAACTCGTGCTCTCCTGCGTAGCCCCCTCTTCCTTGCTAAGAGGAAGTCCAAAGGCTTTTCAGACCCTAAAACAATGAGCCTTTTCACCTTCTGCTCTAGAGAAGTGAGCTAGAGAAGCTGGGCCACATTTGGTATCTAAAAGAGACATAGAGCCCCTCCCCCCCGTGCCCTGCCAGAGTTGCTGAGTGGCCCAACAGCAGTACTATGCCACTACTCTTGACCCAACTTCAAAGTCTAGAGTGGCAAGGCACTTGGCAGGACAGACACAGACTTTCGAGGTGTGAGCTAGAAGCAATAGCCAGCCCCTAGCCCTTCCTCTAGTCCCCTTTTCCCCAGCAAGTCCTTCTCTAGTGGAATGCTTTCACTTTTGCTCACTAGAGACTGGGCAGAGCTGGCACACCCCACATTTCAATCTGCTCCATGGGGGGGGGGCATAGAAGATTGGGCTTGCTGTGGGTTTTAATTGGTCGGTTTCCTTTTGGGATCCCAAAGTTTTAACCTCTGTTCAGGAAGTCCTTATTTAGCTGCATATCTTCATCATATTGGTATATCCTTTTCTGTGTTTACAGAGATGTCTCATCTAAATCTGTCCAACTGAGACGTATATTATCAAAGTAGCAAATGAGACAGCAGTCTTATGCTTCCAGAAACACCCACAGGCACATCCCGTGTGAGCTGCTGCCATGAACTGTCAAGTGCGTGTTGTCTTGTGTATTTTTGTTACTGTCCCCTGGCTTCCTTACCGCGGTGTAATCATGGAGGAGTAAAACATCATAGAAACCGTCTAGCACTTCTTGCCAGTCTTTAGTGATCAGGAACCATAGTTGACAGTTCTAATCGATAGCTTAAGATAAAACCATGTTTGTCTCTTCTGGAATGGTTAGAACTAAGTGAGGGATTTTGCCCCATTCTGTTTGCAGAGTCATAGTTGGACTTTCTAGCGTATTTGTATCCATTCCCTTATGCGATAAAAGCAAGCCCTGCAAGCAGATTCCTGTCAGGCAGTCCCAGTCCCTTCTGCCTGCTCTGCTGTTGGTCCTCTTGATCTTGCTTCTTACTCTTCCCCAGGAAGGGAAGAGGGGTCAGAGGACGGACTCTGGAGATCCAGGACATGTCCTTCCCAACTCCTCTTCCTCCAAGGACAAAAGGCCCCTGCCCCACAGTGGCCTCGCACTCTTGGTGCCCCCAAGGACACCTGCCCTGCAAGCATGGCACCTGGCCAGGTCATCACCAAGATGTTTATTGTAATCAGCCAGGGTTTCGCACATTATATTTAGTGCAATGAAATGTGGCTCCTAGGCTGGGGCCCCTCATCCTTAGAAGACAGCCTAGGCTGATTGGACATTCACACTTGGGATCACAGCATTTCAGGTGCCATTTTCTTTTATTGGGGCCCGATCTGTAGCCCCCTTCCTAGCTTTCCCTTACAGCTAGTTCCAAAACTGCAGGTGGTATCTGCAGCTCCTTAGGGTTTTCCCCTCTTCCTGCTTTCTTCCCCATTCCCTCTTCCCCAAATAAGGGCATCATGAGTCAGTCACCTTTAAGCAGGCAGCTTTGGTGTGGTGTTGCCCTGGCAGCCAGGGGCCCTGTATAGCTCTCAGGCTGCCTCTGCCTTGTAGTCAGATTAACAAGAAGTTGGAGGGAAAAGCCTTAAGCCATGGGATTCTCACCAGCTTTGTCTGGCTCACATCTGGAGTGTGACCTTGATTTTGTTGGTACTTGAACATTATGAAGATTAGGGGACATCCTTCACTAAATATGTGAAGAATACCGGAACTGACCAACAGCTTTCAGATACCTGGGGCTAGGTCATTAAGGTCACATCCAGTTTCCCCACCCTGTTCTAGTTGTTAGTTACTACCTCTCCCTCCTGATAGAATTGTCTATCCAGTGGAATTGCTGCCCTGAACAATGCAGTGAGCTGAGGACATTTGGTCACAGCCAGGCTCTAGTACAGCTCCCTTCTGCTGGTGCTGTATTCCCATATCAAGAGGCAAAGGAGACATCTAGAAAGACACATCCATCAGTCCATCATTGACAAAGTAGCCCGCACTCCTAGCCTGGATACAGACAAGTGTGTTGAGTGCTATCACAACAGACAAGAGCCATGAGCATTGAAAGTGGGAACCAGAGTAGCCCCCAAAATGGCTGCTGCCTCACCTAGTGTGTCATTGCTATGACAGTGATCATGAGAAAAGGTAATAGCCAGAAACAGATTGCCAAGTTTGGCAGGGAAAGGAGTTTCCTTAGCTGACAGGACCTCTGGATTTTAAATAAATTGTAATTAAGTGGTTCAAGCCCAAGAACAAATGAAAGGGTCGGAACTGACCAGATGGGACCAACCAGATTTCATACAGCCCAAATGGAGCCCAACTGCCACAGCTCTGCATCACCCCTCTAAGTACAGTCTCCCTCCAGAGCATTCAGCCATGCTCTCCAGGCTGAGGGGAGGTCACGGGTACCAGTTCTTCAAGAAGACCTTTGTGCATCAGTTTGTAGCCTGTATCTTTGCCCCAGATCATTGGCTGATTCAGGTTCACACCTACAGGATTCTAGGATGGATGGCCAAGACTTGGAGAAATAAGCAGTTTCTAGAGCCCCTGTGGACCACAGCATAGCAAAGTCCCAAGTTGAAGGGGGCTGGGGCAGATGCAGCAGTGCCCCATGCCTGGGCCAAGCCCTCTGCTCTTATCCACATCCTCTTCTGCCTTTTCCTCCCTGCTCTCTGCTTCCGTGAACCAGCCCCACTCCAAAGACATTTGTTGATTCTCTCCATTTTGATGTCTTTCTCTTTTAGGTACCATATCAATCTTTAGAAAAGGCTTAGTCTAATTGTTATAAATTGCTAGGATACTGCCTCCCCCAGGGTCTAAAATTACATACTAAAGGGGAAAAAAATTGAACACTGAAACCAGTTCTCAACAATTTAGAAGAAAAACCTTGAAAACATTTGGCAGAAAATTACATTTTAGTTTCTGAAGAAGAGGAGGCTTTTGCAAAATGTTTATCTAAAAATACTTAGTGCTTGGCCTGAGATGTCTGGTGAGTGATCTGGGCAAAGGGAACTCCAGCCTGAAGCCTTCTGCATCTGAAGAGGTAGAACCAGGGGCCCTTGAGATTCGGGGCCATTTATCATTAGGAAGCCAATCATCACTGGGTAGCTGTCCCTAGAATGCCACTTCTGACCTTGTTCTTTGGTGGTAGCGGCCTGCCAGGTCCCAAAGCTGCATGAGGCCAACCCTTGGTGCAGGAAGTGAAACACCCAGAAGGCCCAGCACCAAGTGTCCGCTCTCCTCTCATCTTAACTGAGCCTGCCCCCAGCACTACAGAGGGAACTAAGGAGGATCTGCTGCTCACAGTGCATCCCTCCCTGGGGCCTCCTGTCCTTCCTCTGGGGGTCTTAGTGCAGATGAAATGGCTGTGTGGCAGTCACCCTGACATGCCCTCCTGAACTTACCCATCACCTTAGAGCCACTTCCTGCCTCCTCAAGCCAGCCTGCCTGCCCTCTGGGGAGGCATGAGAACCCCCAGGGTGGAGGGAGGGGAGGCGGAGTAACAATGAAATGGCCCTGGAAGGAAGCACGGACCCCCCCAGGCTTTGCACAAGCAGAGCTAAGCCCCTCATGGAACAAAGTGTCACCTTTGCAGTCAAG